TTATAGATGTTAACACATCCCAAATTTAAACTTTTACTCATCCTCGAATAAAACAAGTAGTAAAACAGTTAGATTGATCAATTATTTATCCACTAAGCATGTATAAAAATATTCTCACTAGTTGTTCAAGATGTATATCAAAGCGGGTAGCAGTGGAATATAAAAGAATGCCCGATTCACAAATTAAGATCATGCTTTTTAACAATTTAGAAATGTATGTGTGTGAGACTAGAAAATGATTCCCCGACAACTATTAAGTCAAAAATGTAGCAACTCAACATGCATGAAACAAATTCAATATCAAGACTTCATATACCTAAACCCTTCCTCTCTCTCCACAAAAAAGATTACTTCACATAATTCAAAATTAATAGGACTTTGTAAGCTTATAACATGGCCAAAGGTTTTGAGTTAATTGAAAGAAAAGGGTAAATGAAATTCTAAGAACTTAAGATAAATGACAATGAAAAATAAACCATTCCATCCTTATTAGCTAAATACCTTGCCCCAAACTTATTTCAAACACCATTCCTCATGCTCTAAATTTATTGATATTGAAACTCTTTTTTTTTTCATTGCATTTTTTTCCATATATATATATCTCTTTTTTTTTATATTTTTTTAGGAGCACAATTAGTAGTATTCTAAATTTTATTTTCATTCCTTACATTCGAATTTACAAAAACAACACCTCCATTGACAACCAAACTAATGTTCACCACTAACAAATTTTTTATCACTTATCTCAAAATAAAGGTAGTTCATAATTTTTCAAGTTGTAGAGGCTAGAGTTTAATGTGGATTTCAAAAAAAAAAATCACATGATTTTCAATTCAAGGGTCAATAGGAGATCAAGTGAAAATAATGCAATAGTAGGCTTGAAAGGCTCATACGTATGTGAAAGAATGTTCAAATTATTTTTCAATATCATGTAAAGTAATTAAAATACTTCAAGAGGATTGGGTATAAATAAAATTAGAGGAGTATATTTTTGAAGTATCATATTTAAAATGGAATACATTTTGGGTCTTTCAATACACAATTAATAAGATAAGATTTCTTTTTTGAGAAAAAGCTTTCAGCTATGGAGGTGATTAATAAGATTTTTAATAGAAACACTCTATTAAATAAATATAAATATAAATATAAATATAAATATAATGTATAATTTAAAATGTCATTAATTAATCCATAAAATGCGTAAAGTAAAGTAATTCGAAGTATATTCATATACTAAATTTACAAAGTAATTTAAATTTTCTTTTATACTTTAAGGCGGTAGTATTATTCTGATATTTATTATAGAATATCTTCTAGAATAATTTTTTATCTTTAATGTAATGCACCTAATGAAATATTCCCTCTGTTTTTATATATAAGAGGAAAAAATGTATTAGGTTAACCATTATAATTACTCCCTCCAATTCTATTTATAAGACATATTTTAGAAGTAATTTTTAATTCAAAATATAAGACATTTTATAATAATTAAATTACTTTTTTCAACTGTTTTCTTCTTGACTAATGTGAGATATTTAATGTAGTTGTATTACTATTTAAAGTTAAAGGTAAAAATAAAAGTTCATATCACTTTTTTATGATATTAAGAAAAAATTAACTTTTCTTAAGACGTATGAAACAGTTGAAAATGTCTTATAATAAAGAATGGAGGGAATATGTCTTAAAGTAAAAAAAAAAAGGATTAAAATGCCCTGTATTAATCAATATAAGCACACATAAATTATTTCTCATTAATGTAAATTATGAAGGATGATTGATGAAATGTGTAATAAATGCTTATTAAATAGATAATTTTGTTTATTAAAAAAATAAAGTAAAAAATGATAGTTTATCTAATAACAAAAAATGAAGGGAGTATCAACCACATTTTTTAATATTATTTCTATTAAAATTCATTAATTATGAGAGAATGTAATAAATTTTAAATTTTTTAATTAAATAAGAGTAATATTAAAACCTTATTCTATTTTTAAATAAAACTAGATTTATGTCTCGTGTAATGTAGGGGAATATTTTAGTTTTTGAGAATAAAAATAAAAATAAATATTAAAAATTATTTTAATATTCTTAAAATAAAATATTTTATTTTTCCTTTATTTTATCTTAATTATAAATATTTTTTATTTTAAAATATATACAAATTATTCTTAAAATTAATAGTTAAGAATTACAAAATATGAATATGCCTTCTACTTTTAATTTTTTTTATTTTCACCCATATAATCATTAACTGACAAGTATAATTTTTGATATATTATTTTAAATTTTTATTTATATTTCAAATTTATTAGTCGTACAAACTAATTTATTTAGTTTTTTTTTAAAAAATTAAATACATACTCCATCTTTTAAGAAATATAAGATATTTTTACTCAAATCTCACCCTTAATAAAATAGTTATTTATTTTTAAAATAACACCATATTTTCATATTTATTATTTAATTAGGTATTTTACACTAAAATAAATATAAAATAATTTATTCATCATGGCCATTTTTGAAAAAAAAGAGGGTCAATAATTACACTTTTAAACACTGAAAATACTTTATATTTTTTAATATTTAATTTCTTAAAAATAACCCTTAAAAAATACCTTATATTTTGTAATGAATGTAAGTTTACTAAAATGATATTTCAAACACATATCTGCAAGTAATACAATGATAATTAAGAAAAAATTAGGTGTGTAATGGAGAATAAATTCATTAATATTATATAATTAATTTGTAGCCCATAATTTTTGTTGCTCAAACTTGAGGCATATAATTACATCAATATTTTTTTATAGGTGTTCAAATCATAATCAACTTTTACTTATAAATAATAAAATAATTAATTTCTATTCCTCATACATTTGAAAAATATAAACAAAAACTTATTTTATACATGCTCACACAAGCTATTTTGATTTCCCTATGTTAATAATAAAAATGTAAAATATTTTTAACTAAATCATACTTTAATAAAGTAATTACTTGTTTTCAAATTAATCCTACTTTTTATATTTACTCCTATTTAAAATGGTGTTTTATCTTAAAATAAGTATAAAATGCTTTATTTAATATGAATATTTTTAAAAAAAATGACAATGATTACATATTAAAAGATTAAAATTTTATTATATTTTTTAATATTCAATCCTTCAAAAAATATCTTATATTTTTTAATAGAGAGAGTATATAAAAAAATTATTTATATATTTAACATCTATTATTTTACAAAAATTCTTATATTCACTATCAATTTTTAGTGTAAAATCCTACATGACTTCTCAAAATATAAAAATTTTATTATTTTTTACATTTTGTTTAAATGTTTTAATTTTATAAATGTTGACCCCACTCATATTTTTAATGGTAGGTCTTACACACCACTTTTTAAAACCACATCACTTCAATTTTTTTAAAATCAAGTTTATTAATATTATATTACATTCCCTTCATTAACCTTATTGCCTTAATATGAGTTTAAAATATCTAAATATATAAAAATTTATAATCGAGCATGACTTTTAATATCTTTAATTTTTGAGTTTATTTATAATGGTTTAACTATCCCAAATTATTAAAAATTATTTTATTTTATCTTTCTCTTAATTGAGTCCATATACTACATCTTTGAATATTTTTTTGGCTAATTTATATATTTAATGTTTTAAAAAAGTTACAAAGTAAATACATTTAAATGATAAAAAATTAATTTTTTGGTAATTTAAATAATTTTTGGACAAAATATATAATTAAATCAGAATATTTTAGTCTAACATACGTGATTTAATAGTCAACTAATGATTAAATAGATGAAAATAAAATCTTAAAAATAAAAAGATGGCTTGTATTTTATAACAATCAATACTAAAAAATATTCATATAGGTTTTAAAAATTACAAGAGATGTATCATTAATTAAGATAAAAATAGATAAAATATTTTTCTCATTTTCAAGTATAAATTTCGTATATACCATATCTATTTAAAATTTTTTTGTTTTAAAAAAAATAAAAACATTAGATTCATAACAAATTTTAAAAAAGAAAAGAAAAGGTCAAATTGCACTGTATACGTACAGTACCATCTGATGGTAAACAAAATAAAAAAAATGAAAAAGTCAGATGATACTGTATATCAGGCAATAATGGTTCAAGATAAAAAAAGGAAAAAAATTGAGGATGTTTTTGGTAATTTATTATTCATCAAACATTCCAAATTTATATAAATATAGATAAATAAATAGAATATTTTGGTCCAACAAATGTGATTTAATGATCAATTAATAGTTAGGTGAATGAAAATAAAATTTTAAAAATAAAAGGAGGGTTTGTATTTTATAACAATTCATACCAAAAAATCTTCATATAGATTTTAAAAAATAAAAGAGATGAGATATCCTTAATTAAGATAAAAGTAAACAAAATATTTTTTTTATTTTCAAGTATAAATTCTATATGTACTTTATCCATTTAAAAAATAAAAAAAAAAGAGAAAATGAAGGATTCACAACAATTTTTTTTTAAAAAAAGAAAAAGTCAGATTGTATAGTGTATTTACTGTACCATTCGATGGGAACAAATTTTTAAAAAATAAAAAGTCATGGTACCGTAGATCAGGTTAAAATGGTTCAAGATAAAAAAGGAAAAAAAAGTCGGGGGATTTTTAGTAATTTACTGTTTATCAAACATTCTAAATTTATATAGATATAGATTAAACTTTAATCACCTTAATTTTTCTCTCCTCTCCTCAATTTCAATGCGATAATTTAAAATGTTTTATAACGGAGATGAGGATTTAGGATTAAATCGATGTAATTTTTTTATTATTTACGTCAGTGCATTTGCCATTGCGGACTAGCATGAAAAAATTGAAAACCTCCTTGCCGGGGAGGGTGTATCTAGTTCCAGTCTCTTTCTAGATTTATTAATATAAAATGACAATAATTGGCATACTAATAATGTCCTAGACTATATTAATTCCGCTCTAAGTGCAAATTGAGTCAAATTCTGAAAATCTTTCTGGTTACGAACATCCTCGAGAAGCAAGTCCTGCTGCGAGCACTTTTCCTGTCCGATTCAATTTCTCTCTTCGATCCCAAGTTCTCCAACCGAATCCTGATTTCTTTTCTTCTGGCGCAAATCTCCCACCTGCTGATTCATTTATTGGAATTAATGGGATATTTGTCAGATCGGACGGTCAACTTCTCCCCAACCTCGTTCTTCAAGCACAAAATTCTTTAAATCTGGGCTTCGATTCTTCAATTATAGGGTGCCTACCAGTTCAGAGCTCTAGTTATTTGTTAGTGTACCTCAAGAAAAGGAAGGAAAAATGAGTGTCGCAAAGTCTCAGGTATGGCAGCCGTGTAAGAAGAAAAGATTTTGATAGTTCGTGTGAGAAACTCTAGACTGTAGAGAGAGTTAGAGAGAGAGACAGGGGGGACAAGAAGGAGCTATTGGAAATCTGAATTTTAAGGAGAATTCGAGAAGATGACATCGCGTTCGGGGTTTAACAGCAGCAAGATCCGAGTGGGCAAGTACGAGTTGGGTCGGACTTTGGGAGAAGGCAATTTCGCAAAGGTCAAGTTTGCGCGCAACACCGAGACTGGTGAAAATGTGGCCATCAAAATTCTAGACAAAGAAAAGCTTCTCAAGCACAAAATGATTGGTCAGGTATGTATCTTAATGCAATCAACAAGACGGTGCTATATATATATATAATACATACTTTTGAATCACTTCTTTTTTTAATGCATGACTTAGATGATTGGAGATGCTTCGATTTCACGCATGTATTTGGATTGCTTTTTTTATAATCACAGGGCAAGCTTTTCAAAACTACGTATTCGTTTCGATTTTTTTTTTTTTAATTCTTCAAAGATGCTTGCTTGACTTCATGGTGCGTCTGGTTTGGATCCAAAGTGCAAGTGGAAGTGTGGAGAAAGATAAAGATGAAAAAGTATGGGATCTTTCACGTTGTTGGAGTAGGGTGCATCTTTTGCTCCCCATCTTTCCTCTATACTTCTATCTAAAACACCAAAAATGTACTTGTGGGATCTTGTTGCGCGTCTTACAGTTTTCTTGTTGAAGATAATTGGTAAAAGTCATATTTGCAACAGTTACCCGTGTCTCATCATTTTTTTATTTTTTTAATGAACCCTTGTCTCAACTTTCAAAATGTTGCTTGTTGGACTTCTCTTCCATCTCTCTTTCTTTTTTCCCCTTTTGTTGATTTGGGAATTCATCAACTGCTATTTCACTGATGTATCATAAATAATGCAATTTCCCCCCCTTTTATTTGCCATAATAATGCAATTCATTGTATACGTTCAACTTTACAACAGTAGTATATTCTATATTTTAAATTTTAAACTTTGACTTTCTAGAAGTCTTCTCTTCAAATGCTTGAAAATAATTTTTTTATGACGTAACGTGTTAGTTTTTAACGCATTCATAGACAATTACATTCATAATATTATACCAAATGCCAAAGATTTTCATTCAGCTTGAAGGCTAGACCATGTGAATTTTTTAAAATTAAGTTAATCTTTTTGGCCTTGAGATAAAGTTAATTCAAAATTCCAAATAACATAAATACAACCTTCTAAATTACAATTTGTCGTTTTAAAAATAAAAATATCATGAATAAACTAGTTAAATTACATAAAAGATAACAGAACTAGTTAAACCAAAAATAAAGTTAAAAGAGCTAGACTAACTCCCTGCAATTCCAGGGATATAAAAAATTATTTAAAAGATTGCATGGAGTTTGAGTAAAACAGTGTGGTAACAATGGTTTTTGTTTTGGTTAGATATATATATATATATATATGCATTGATTTTTTTTAATTGTTACAAAAAAAAAAAAGACCTCTCCTTTTATCTTGAATTCTAATGTTTCATCATCAACAACCATCCACCTACCTAATATATCATATTTTAATATAAAGAAAAAATATTAACTAGAGTGTGCCTTATGCATTGGCACAAAACTTGAGATGACTCATGTTATTCATAGCTTACGAATTGTGCCATTTTCTACAACTTTTACAGATACATCAATTTTATTTATAACATTGATGTAGAGTGAAATAGGAATACAATATAAAAAAAGTTATCTTATCGTTTTCCTGAAAATATCTAAATCCTAATTGGTATGATTCCTGTTGTTTTTGTTTTGGCCAAAAGCTTCCCATTCAATTAGCCTCTTACAAAAAAGAAAAAAAAGAAAAGGAGGCTTCGTGTTGTGAGCATCTGACAATGTGATTTTCCAAAATATATTGGTAAACAAGATTGGCATATGCTCTTAACGTTCCAAACATTCACGTACAAGCCATGTCCAAGTTGACATATGTTCAAGCTGAAAAATATATTTCTATCTAAACACTTCTCAGACATGCGTTTTTAGTGTATCATGGCAGTATGCCTGAAAATATATGCCCCCATTCATTGTGTAATATCCTCTAGACTTCCACTATGTTGTAGTCTAAAATAGTAAAAGGGTAAATGAAGAAGATGACTTGGGTTGTAAACTTGTATTAGCACTTAACTTTGGAGCTTAAGAAATAGGTGAGCTCTGTGTGCATAGCCATGTACAACTGTCTGTTCTCTAAAATCTGAGTTAAGCTTAAAGAGAGAAGAAATCGTTATCTTATTCTTCAGCTTTATGGAGGGCGAAAAGAAGAAAAGTAATTTGACTGGTATACTTGTTAATATTTATGAGATGGTGCTTAATATATTTGTGTTACTGCTTTAGTTTTGTTTCTTATATGTATACTAGCAGTCAGACAAGTTTTTCTTTGGCCAAAACAGACAGACAAGTTAGTGCTTTTATGTTTGTCACTAGCTAGTTTGTATAATATCAAATGTAATTAGTGTAGTTAATAATTTTTGGAGTTGAATTTCAACCAACTTAACCTTGGAAACATGAACATGCTGGTCTCACCTACCAAATCTTCTGTTGTCTGTCATTATGCAGATAAAACGAGAAATTTCAACAATGAAACTGATCAGACATCCAAATGTCATACGTTTGTACGAGGTTAGAAGGCAGCAATTGATCTTGTCCAACTATTATTGCAACTTTGCATTTTTTTTAACTCAAGTTTTACTTTATCAAAATCTATCTTGCTTCCTTCAAAATTGTAAGTGACAGCAGCATTCATGATGCAGGTCATGGCTAGCAAAACAAAGATATACATTGTATTGGAATTTGTGACTGGAGGGGAATTATTTGATAAAATTGTAAGAGTGCTTTGTCTTTCTATTTTTATTGATGGCAATCGAAGTCCAATTTATTAACACAATCTTGTTAAATTCTTAAGTTTTATGTACTTTATTATTATTATTATTATTATTATGAGACAGTCAAGCAAGGGGAGGTTGAAAGAAGATGAAGCCAGAAAATATTTTCAGCAGCTTATTTGTGCTGTGGATTACTGTCACAGTAGAGGTGTTTTCCATAGAGACCTAAAGGTGTGTCTCTCATGTAACACAGTTGTTCCATCTTTTTATTTTACCTTTTTTCAATTTGTTTGTGGAAGAATTTATTGTCCAGTGAACTCCTTAACTCAGAATGGTACTCTGAGTTTTCCTAACCAGTGTTGTCCCTTATCATGTTAAAATGACATAAATTTGATTGAACTGTACTAACCTAACTTGATAGAACATTTGGGTGACCATGAATATGATGAAGTAGCCATGCAATCTTCCAAAAAGCCATAATTGATGCATTTTAGTGACCAAATTATTGGACTTTCTTCTTAATTTTTTTGGGTTACTTCATCACATAATGGTTGTATAAGAATTTGCTCAGTCAGGTTAGCTATTCAATAAAATGTGCACGAGACTTCAACTTTGGAGGATCAAATTGAAAGCTTTGTTATATTGTATGGTCAAGAATTGTAATTTACTGTGTTTTTCTTCAGAGTTTATGTGCTTACCCAACCGAGAGAGAGATAAAAGAGTGAGATCAAATAAGCAAAAGGAAGGGAAGAAAAGGTTAACACATCACTATATTTTGTCTATTACAGCCTGAGAATTTGTTGTTGGATGCTAATGGAGTACTTAAAGTATCAGATTTTGGTTTAAGTGCACTTCCTCAGCAAGTCCGAGTGAGTACAGTGAATAAGTCCTCATAAAATTATAACAATCATATCCAGGTTTTAATGGATTATCATATTTGTATCAGGAAGATGGTTTGCTGCACACAACATGTGGTACGCCAAATTATGTTGCCCCAGAGGTATGGTAGCTATTGCTGCAAGTTACTCTATTTTTGCCTCACAGGCCTTTTTCTTCCTTTATCACTGCTTCCCTATTACAGGTTATCCACAACAAAGGTTATGATGGTGCGAAGGCTGATCTTTGGTCATGTGGTGTTATTCTTTTTGTTCTATTGGCTGGCTTTTTGCCTTTTGAAGAAAGCAACCTTGTGGCTTTGTATAAAAAGGTGATCCCTGTTTCCCCCAAGTTGAACTCATAATTCAAAATGAAGTAGACTTAAGCATCTTGAAAGGAGAGTGGAATTCATTTTCTAAAATCAGGTTGTACTTTTGCTGTATCACCTATGAATCCTAATCAAAATACATGACCTTGCAATTGAGTCCTAAAATTTCACCAGAGTTCTTAGTTCCAGTGTTGTCACACAGAGCAATAATTGCATCTAGGAAGTAGTGGAAGGATCTGATACTAGTTGATAAGAACTTTTGGAGGAATTATATTTTGAAAGCTAGCTTATAAGTTTGGAGATCCCAAGTCCTTATTATATCCAACAATACTTTCTCTTACTTCCAATATGGAGCTTATGTCTTATTAGTTGGAATGAGGTCCCAACATTATCATTTTTTTTTTTGGTGGGGGGAGGGAGTTGTTGGTATGAAGGTATCTGTTCTGCCAATTAAATGTTATTTGAGCTATATTGATACTTTGAAGACTTGACTTCAAGGCATTAGAGCTTTTTGTTACAGTTATACCTCATATGGGGTACTATATTTTGTTTTATCTTTTATGTTCATAGTGCTGCTTCACAAGGTTTCTAACTTGCTATGCCTTACAGATATTCAAGGCTGACTTTACATGTCCACAATGGTTCTCTACAAGTGCAAAGAAATTAATTAAGAGAATTCTTGATCCCAATCCTGCAACAGTATGCCCCTGGATTATGTTGTTTTAATTAATTGGGTCCACAGATGCTACTAATTTGATTTATGTGAAATATTTAGTTTTTTCTTCCGTCTCAACAGAAAATATCAACTTTATTCTTATTTTGATGATCTAAAACAGCGTATTACAATGGCTGAACTCATTGAGAATGAATGGTTTAAGAAGGGATATACTCCTCCTAGATTTGAGCAGGCCAATGTCAGTCTTGATGATGTAGATGCTATTTTTGGTGATTCATCGGTAAGAATTTTTGTTTACTTTCTTGTTGATTGATTTTTGGAAAAATACAATTCATCCTTCAATTTGAAAATGTGACTTCATTTTTCAAAAACAAAAAATTCCCTTAACTAGCACAGTTCATGAATTAAATCCTTTTGTCCATTTCTGATAACCACAATAATGGAGATTTCACCTTAAATTTTTTCATTGGTCAAATAGAACACTCCAATTTTTATGGAAACGGCAAATGAAACAAGTGAGGTAGCATCTCTGTTAAACACAAGAAAATAAGTACCCTTTAAATGCTGAAGGATGATAGTTAAGAAATGTATTCTACAATTTTTACAGTTGAAGGAGGTGCCTACAGATGACTGAAAATTGAAGGGGATCTTATCTTTTTTCCTTTAACCTTTTCCCCCATAAGATTATATGCATTCTAAGTTTGATCTCAATGTATGTTCTGGTGCATAGGATTCTGAAAATCTTGTTGTAGAGAGGCGGGAAGAGGCACCAGCAGCACCTCTAACTATGAATGCATTTGAGCTTATCTCTACGTCCCAAGGTCTCAACCTTAGCAGTCTTTTTGAGAAGCAAATGGTATGTTTATTTTATCTTATTAGTGAAACAATTGGCATGCCCTAGGCAGATGGACGCTATCATGGACAGAAGACCTAAAGAATACTATGATGCAATTTAAGTGTCCATATGCGTATATCTATCAAGAGTAACTAATATGTTAGATACTGAATCTTTAAACTATTCATGCTTCCTATGGTTTACTCCGTTATACTCAATTTTGGCAAGCGGTATATAGTTATGGAATGGATGAAATATATATTTTAAAAGACAAAACAACAACAACAACAACAACAACAAGCCTTTATCCCACTAGGTGGGGTCGGCTACATGGATTGCAAGACGCCATTGTGCTCTATCATTTATTAAGCTTTTAGAAATATTATTAATTAAGAGATCACGTTCAACAACTTCTAAGAGTGTTCTCTTAGGCCTTCCTCTACCTCTCTTAATCGGACTCAAAGTTATATGTTCCACTCTTCTCACTGGTGCCTCCCTTGGTCTTCTTTGTACATGCCCAAACCATCTCAACCGATTTTCTACCATTTTTTCCTCAATAGGTGCCACCCTCACTTTTTCACGTATGTGCTCATTTCGAATTTTATCTTTACGTGTATGTCCGCACATCCATCGTAACATTCTCATCTCTGCTACTCCAACTTTATGCTCTTGCTGTCCCGTTAGAGCCCAGCATTCACTACTATATAACATTGCCGGTCTGATAGTAGTACGATAAAACTTTCCTTTAAGTTTATTAGGCACCTTACGGTCACAAATAACTCCTTTAGCTTTTCTCCAATTAAACCACCCAGCTTGAATTCTATGTGAAATATCTCCACTGATTTCGCCATCATTTTGAATAATGGCTCCCAAATATCTAAACTTTTCCACTTGAGGTATAATTTGATCTCCCAATTTCACTTCCAAATTATTTTCGAATAGTCCTTTACCAAATTTACAATATAAATATTCCGTCTTACTTCTACTCAGACGAAAACCTTTCGACTCCAATGTCCTCCTCCATAACTCAAGTTTGCAATTAACCTCTTCTCTTGTCTCTGCTATAAGAACTATATCATCCGCGAAGAGCATACATTTCGGGATTTCCTCTTGAATATGTTCCGTCAAAACATTTAAATGACAAAACAAAATAAAATAATTGCCTGTTGAAGACTGCTTGAACTGGCCGTCATTCTTATTACTGTCTTGCAACTAGGGACTTATTAAACGGCAAACAAGATTCACATCCAAATGTTCAGCAAACGAGATAATTTCAAAAATTGAGCAAGCTTCAATGCCCCTGGGTTTTGATGTTAAGAAGAACAACTATAAGGTAAAAGTACTACTATTCCCGTTCCTGCCTCTAATTTGTGTCATTTTATTTCTATTTTAAACCTAGTTAGTACCACATTTGATTCTTTTGCTGTATAAGGTAGTACTATGCAAAGAATCAACAAGTATATGAAGCAGTAATAGTTTTTTCTGCTTTTCATACCTATCTTTTGGTTCTGTCTGACTTATTTTGCCTAAATGCCTGCAGAAAGATATTATATTATTATTACTTGTTCTCAGTAAAATATGCTTGGTAAAATCTTATCTTGGTCCCATAAAAGAGATGGGTGAGCTTTCAATTTGGTCCTCTAGAGGTCGTTTCCTTCAATTTTGTCACTCTATTGTTAATACTTGCAATATTACTTGTGCCAAGTTTGTTGGCCAAAAACATCAAAGTTAAGAAATTGCCAAATGCCCAAATTTGGCATTAAACTTTGGACAGAAGTAGAGTGGAAGCGAAAGATTGCGAGCATTTTAATGATTGAGATAGAAAGAAATAAATGTTAGATAGTCAAAATTTGAAAATTCACCTATTTGTCAAAAACCAATAATGGGAATTTTTTTCATAAACTTTTCATGGCCGATTTCTAACACCAATATCTTTCTGTTGGATATATCTACATCTGATAACATCTCTTAACTATCTGTCTCAGTTGAAGATTCAAGGGGAAAAGACTGGACGCAAAGGCCATCTATCTGTGGTGACTGAGGTAAATGATTCTCCAAAAGTGTTTCTTTTCTGATATTCAAGGCTGTAAGTCAAGTTTGACTGTAATCAGGATCAAGATTACTTATAAATTAGATATTTTTCCTGTTCGTTGCATGGGAATATTCAAAATCAAATTATTTTAAATGAAACACATCACTTGAAAAAGTATTTTGATGATCTTACTTGAAAAAGTGTGTCTGACATGTTTAGAGAATATCACTCCAATGGGTAGTAAATAAAATTGTGATAGATAATTTAGTTTTATATTTGATGTCACATAAATAACTCATGTATAAATAGTGGTGGATGATTTTGGTTTTTATGGTATACTGATATTGATTCCGATGCTTTTATTTTTTGACTTCTATTTTTCAGGTCTTTGAGGTAGCCCCATCACTTTGTATGGTTGAGGTTCGCAAATCTGGAGGAGATACTTTGGAATTTCACAAGGTAAGGTTCAAAATTCATAATGTTTAATCTACAGCTAATTATTTGTGTTTTCCTATCTGAGTGAAATTATACCTGCTATATCATAGCAGAGGCAGAGCCATATTATAAAGGTCTGGTCGGACAGATGCCATACCTCAAAAATCATAAAATTGTATGTAAATGATATTGTGTTTTGATATTATATCATCACATCTCTTGAGAAAGTAATAGAGCTTTGGCATTATATTCTCACATATTTTGAAGATTTAAATCCTTTGGACTCGCACATGCGAATGATCCGACTGGCCTTAGGATCCTGGTTTCACCATTGTATAATAGTAACATCTAATTCCTTCACTCTGATATGATAGAGATGATAGATTGGTGGAAGACAGGTAGAATGAAAGAACGGACGATAGATATTAGATAGATATAGAACAGAGAGAAGAGAGACTAGATGGCAGAGCTTGAGGAAATCAAAATGACGTGCATAAAATGATTCAACCTGCCTACAATCACAAAAGCTGGTGCATGATTGTGTATCAAACTAGGGGTCTCAAGAACTCCATACTGCTCATTGCTCAATCGCCTTTCTCTCCATTAGGCAATTTGATGGAGACTTGGTTGTATGGGATATCAAATTCCACATTGAGTAGTAAAGGATGTTCAATGAGTTATTTAAGTGGAGTGGTTCTCTTACCTCAATGCTTAGCTTTTGGAGTAAGGTTTTCATCCCATTTAGGTACCTATCAATTATTATCAAAGCCTGATTGTTAGCAGTTCTGGAGAAGGCTACACACGAATTTGAGGATGAGTTTGACATTTCTGTAAGCTCTTAGAACAAAAGTATGGTTTTCAAAGTTGAAAGTCTGGCTTCCCGTGGATGAATTGAATCAAACAAAATTGTCTGCTTGTCTTGCTTGGATCCTTCATATTTTTCCAAACTAAACCATGCATACGGGATCATCATTTTGGGAAATGTAAACAATATTAAACTTTATTCTGCTTCAACGAGCTGGACCCAAATGCCCTTCCCCCTATATAACTTTTGTTAATTTGAATTTTGATTGTACAGTTTTACAAGAATCTATCGACTGGACTGAAAGACATTGTCTGGAAAGCGGATCCCATTGATGAAGAGCCTGATGGTTAGTACTGTGTCATTTAGTGTTATATCCCATTTTTAACCAAATCACACAGATCAATGTGGTTAGTTAATATCCCTAATATATTCGTATCTTTTCAAATATACCCTTCATTAAAATTGAACCAAATTGGTAGGAGTCAAGTGATTTCTTTTATTTGTTGGAAGCATTTTCAGAATAAATACATTAATTGCTCTTAATATCCTACAAAATGCCTTAGAAATTGAAGCATAAAACCTTTACAAATATGCCTTATAATAGTAAATGGACAGTAGTATTTTTCTTAAAATTCTTGTAAATTTTAATTGTAACTTTCATTTGATTCTTAAAAATAATTACTGCTTTCGGTCTTAAATATAAGAATTTTGGAAGACTTGTTTTGGTTCAAATTAAAGTAAGTAAACATAGAATTATGTTTAATGCAATAATTACATAATTTCAATTATACCTTCATTATTTGGCCAAAAAAAAAATTTATACCTTCATTAAGTTGGAAATAGTAATTAGTAATCATTAAATATGAGGTAAAAGTTCAAACATTAATTTGGAGGCATTTATGTGGGAAAATTTTTTAATTTGTGATGCATTTAAGAAGGATAACCACCTTTTTTAAGCCTTAGTGAGGTAGTAATTTGTTCTTATATATTTTGAGATCAGTTGGAATATAAATTTGACTATTCATACTTTTTGGAATTAAAAAATTGGGCCTTTACATGCATGCATGCTAGTTTGAAGGTTTTTCCTATACTGGAAAAGAGATGATTTAGTTGAATATTTTGTAACATTTGTATGTACAGGGGCTAGAGCATCCGCATAATGGAAACTCGAATCTTTGTGTTTGGACATATGCTATGCCTAGTTGTTGGAGAGGAGTGATGCTTGAAAGAGACCGTTAACGATGCTTTGTGATCGAGCCTGTAAAAAAAATTGCTTTTAATTGTGCGTTGTGTGTGAGAATTGATCGGATAAACTGAGTTATGTGTTTCTTGTTTATGTAAATTATGTGGATTTAATAAGAGGGTTGTAATCAATCAAACATGTCATGAAAGCCTGGAAAGGTTATTGGATTGTTGGTTAAAATTTCTGAGGCTGCAGGTACAAAATTGGCTATCAATGACCTTGAAACCCTATCAAGGAGCATTTGGTTCAACTAATTGACAAAGTTGAATAAGCTTATTCTGAAATTTCAAGTTTGAGTTTTGAGATATATAATTACATTAAATAGATATTTCAAAGGCATTTTTAAGGTAACTATGAAGTTGCCGTTGATAATAACGATCTCACACGGCAGCGGTTTGGATTCTTTTAGATAGGTGATAATATTTTAAGGTTTTTCAGGATATAAAATGATGGAATTAAAAAAAAATGATCTTGAAATTCTCTTCAAAGTTGTTTTCCATACGCTCCTTTAAATCTTGGGTTGTCAGAGTTGTTATTTATACACACTCTAATTTAAACTGTGCGTTGGGTCTACTTTGATGTTGATGGTCCATCATCGCCTCAGGGGAGGCAGTGAAATTTTGTGACTTGACAAGTCAATGATCCCATGAGTTGCTCACCACACCACTCCCATTACTTCTTGTCACCGAATGAGCAATCAGATTGCTCCATAACCCATAGCTTCTTTGACAGGGAAAGTTTACATTGTTGGCATTATAAATAGACGGACCCAAAGCTCGCTCAAATCACGCCTGCAATGCATTACCGAATACGTATACCATGAAGAAGATGAATCAGGTATTTTACAGAATTTTCAAAACTTTTAAGTGAGAATGAAAAGTAGAGCATAACGGCTAGATGATGCACAAAATCAGTTAAGAGCAAGGAGAAGAGGTACAATACAACGCAGAAAAATTATCCTAGTTTAGCTAGAACTATTTGATATATTCAATATCATAGGGGACCATATACTAAACTTTTGTCAGATTTAATATTGGACTCTTGCTGCCATAAAACAAACTAAATTCTCTCCGAGTCTTAAAACCTAGATACAATCTCCTTTACAAGTGTAAACAAAATCCCATTCAAGGATCTCTCGTACTGAGTAACCTCACAAACGAGAAGAAAGAAATTTAAAAGTACGTAAAGTGCTATATGTCATTTTACTTATGCTTTGGTTAGGACTGCTAATTATAGTCAAGGAAATTTTTTGCAACTTCCGTCAATTGCCATCTCATAACAGGGAATGGAAGGTTGATAGATGGTTAGATATTGTATTGGTGGTGTGTTCTTTTAATTGTTTTTTTTTTTTTTGGTTATCGCATATAGTTTTGCTTTTTCATTAAAAAAGCCTTTTTTGATTTGTGCATGTCATCCTTGTATTGAGGCCATGCTAATCTCAATAGGCCTTAATGTGGGAGATTGATGTAAAACATCTTTAGCATGTAAACTCAATAGGCTCATAACCTTCCTAATTAAATGACGCTGCTATGTATAGATTTCAAAGGTCTTATAATTGCTAGAAGCAATCCCAAGATGTCATTTTGTAAAAGAGAAGACACAATATTCAGTTTTTATAATTTTATCGGGTTTTATTTTTAGTCCCTATATTTTTTTTCTAGTGTTTTTAGTTATTACAAGAATTGAAAATACTAAAACTATAGAAACTTAAGTAACAAATGTCACCCAATTTTATTGAAATTATAAGGATTGAAAAAACTATAAGAACTAAAAGTAAAACCTGATAAAACTATAATGATCAATGATACTTTTGTAAAATTAATTGATTGAGTTACCATGTTTAATACTTCTTACAAAAGGCAAGTGGAGTTATAGAAAAGCATGCCAATTTCCATAGTTATAAAAGGGATTCTTTCTAAGAACTAGCAGCCACAAAGGTTGACTTTTGAAGGGGAAGGTCGACTTCTAATTTTAGTAAAGGAGTCGTGCATTCTCTAGGTTTTGGTAAATGAATTTGGAGTTTCCAATGTTGTTTGTAATGCTTTGTCGTCTCAATTTTGTATTTCTTTTTTTATTGGATCATTAACTTTTACATAAAATAAGAAACATCTTAATATGTTAAAATCTCCAAATAGTAGAGTTTTATAATTTTTCTTTTTCAATTTTTCAAGGAAAAACACTATAAAATTGTGTGATTTTAATAATTTTTCTAAAAAGATCGTAAAGATATTGAACTTTATTATTTTGAGATTCAAGATAGCAAAATATTAAATTAAATTAAAATATATCTTATTCTATATAGAACTCAATGATTAAAAAAATGAAATTAAAAAGAATGGCATTACAAAAAACATTAAAGGGAATTAGATTCCCAATATTCTTACAGTTAAGTTCAATTCAAATGACATTATGTATTCTTTGAAATAATTTTAGTTTAATACTCTTGACTTGCGATTGGACTGAACTTTGAATTCAAATTTGATTTTTCTTCCAGTTAATTTTCATTCAACTGAAGTAAGATCTTAGTAGAATAATCTTGTGTTAAAAAGCTTGGAATACATACCGTTTACTTTTCATTCAAAATAGAGGTGTTTCTTTATTGCTCATAGACATCCACCTATTGATGAACATCCTCCATTTCATCCTTTATCTTGTATTGTGCCTAAAGCCACCATCAAGACTACATTGTTTGATTGTGGAGTAGAGAATGACTTTCTAGTAATGCCTTTGATCTCTTGTTCTACTGATTGCTGTTGTTCTAACGTATTGGCTTGACCTTTTTGTCTTTGAATTTTGGCGCACATGTGTCACTACAAGCATCTGGTAGCTTGAACTTTAACTTCAGTAATGATCCTTGTATCATCATTGATGCTATGCTCTTTATTGTGCCTTGTCAACTAAAAGGGGTTATATTTTATTTTCACAAATTGCAATCCGAAGGTGGTTCTAGATCTATAATATTTACTGTACTAGACTTCTGCTGTGTCAATCCTACTTTTTCCATTTTTATCTTTGATCCTGGAATATATATCCTCATTCATATTCTATATCTACATGTTTGAACTGGGAGCTATCAAAGGTGTTTGCTGTTTGCATTTAATTAATGGGCTCTTTCACTTACTATCTATTATAGTCGTTATAATCGTGGCTGCCACCATGCAAAGCTCTTTTAGTCCTTTTTCCTCACTTACATCATTACATTCTAGAATTGGGGTTTGTTGAACTCTGGTCATCCATACCACAATTGCCTTTGTGTGACGCTTTTTACCGTTATGGATACTATACATGTTAGGCATATAGAATGTTTGCCTATAAACATGCTGCTACTGATTAACTCATATCTTTTGTTCTTTTTCAATGTGCACACCTGGCTTCTTGTATTTTCGTTTTTATTACATGTGTCAAATGGAGGAGTCTAATTGATGCCATGTAAAACTTTTTTGGATTTATCATTTGGTTTAATGGTCCATCTCATCTAATTCTTAAGGCAGTTCGGTATGGGATATTCGGTGTAGGACATGTGACTCCTCTCATGACTTGTCTTCATAACTTGATTTTCTGTGGTCAAACCATGTAATTATTAGATTATTATGTGCAAATATTCCTTTTAATATTTGTTATCCTAGGAGATTAGTTAGGATCTGTCTTTAATTATATATTACCTTTATTCTAGCTACTAACCGATATTGGTCCCTTATTTTTTGGAGAGATTATTGCTCCTATTCCTGTATATATGTACCCAACTCCTGTTTGATGAATATAGTGAGAAGCAAATTGCTCATTTACTACATGGTATTAGAGCCGACTGCTTCTCCAGATATTTTTTACGTCGAGCACGAGTCAAAAAGCATCACAGATGAGTTGTACCCCAGTCGCCTGTCTTCACTGATGACGCAGAGTGATGGGTCCTCATTGTATGATTCGAATAAGGTTGGTGGTCCCTCTGGGTTGACTACTAACCATGAGGGATCTTTGATGCAAATCATGACTATGAAGCTAAAGGGTGACAACTATCGCACATGGGCATAGGCCGTGAAACTCGCTGTTGGAGGCAAAGGTAAGATAGGTTTTCTAGATAGCTCGTCCAAAATCCCAAATGAAACCAAACCCAAAGAAAGGCAACGGTGGTGTACCAATGATTCTTTGGTCTCATCGTGGCTCATTAATGCGATGACACCTGAAGTCCAGCAGAGTTTTATGTTCTTACCTTCTGCGCATGAGATATGGGTGGCTATGCGAGACTCTTATTCAGATGGAAAAGACTTAGCATGCCTCTATGAACTCAAAACAAAGACATGGATGGTTTAACAAGGTGAACAAGATGTTACTGCATTCTTGTTGGAGCTCACTGCATTGTGGCAAGAACTCGATCTAATGACTGAGGTGGAGTGGTCAAATGTTGCTGATGCGACTCGTTATAAGGAGCAACTCAAAAATGAACGTGTTTTTCAATTCCTGGCTAGGTTACATCAATCTCTAGATGACGTACGTGGACGTGTTCTCAGCAAATCACCATTACCTTCAACAAGAGAAGTTTTCTCTAAAGTGCACTGAGAGGCTTCACAACGTAAGGTGATGCTCCCTAGTATGGTTCCCAATTCTTTACCATCTTTGGACTCTGCTGCACTTGTTAGTAAAGGTACAGATCATAAAAGCCAAAAAGGAAAGACTTGGTGTGAACATTGCAAGAAATAAGGGCATACTCGTGAGACTTGTTGGGAATTGCATGGGAAGCCAGCAGATTGGAAGCCTAGAAGGGGAAAGACAAGAGGATATCAGACTTCTCATAACACTCTACAAGAGAAGACTGACTCAAATTCATTACCTCTGATAAACAAAGAATAACTAGGTAAGTTAATTGAAATGCTTGATGTGATTCAAAAGGCTGAATCGAATCAGAAGCAAGGTCACATTGTAAAAATAGTGCACAAAGGTAACTGTGCTTTACTAACTACTTCTAGTAATTTCAAGTGGATTGTTGATATTGGAGCCACAGATGATATGACATTAGATTCTAAGTTATTTAATTCCTATACACCTTGTGCTAGGCATGAAACTGTCAATACTACTAATGGGTCTGCCTCATTTATAGCGGGTAAAGGGAATGTTATTATTTCTGATGTCATGAAATTAGAAGACGTACTTCATGTACCTTACCTAGCATACAACTTATGGTCCAT